AATTCATATTCTCGTCTGATGTTTTCCGGATTGTCCGTTCGTGCTATCAACTCCCATCCATTTAGTTCTAAGCCTTGCAAACCAACCGTATCGTAGATCGTTCGTAGCTTTGGATCAGAAAGAGCTGTAATACACATATACATTCAATATGCAATGTTTTAGAAAGGGCTGTATTACATATATATTCAACATAATACATATAGAAATTCAATGTTGCAGATGATTTTCCATTAGGCGAGTTTTCAACACCAAAAATATCTATGAAATTATACGCATTCATCATTCGTCTAGTACAACATAATGATCAATTTGAATTGAAAACTCGAATCCTTTTACTTATTCCAATAAAGAGAGATAAGAGGTAAACTGTAGTTAGAAAAGAATAAAATATTTACTCACTTTCATGAGCTTTTCGGAGCTTGACAAAGTATTTTTCAGCCTCGCGTTTCTCCTCCAAGTCCATGTGCCTGTCTGGATGGAAGATCTTACATTTTTGTCGATATGCTTTATTGATCTCATCAAGTGAAGCCTCAACAAAAACAACCACATAATAAAAAACGTTTTTATGATGACCTCAAAGAAATTCTCAAAAATGCAATAAGAACAGAACAATATCGCAAAATTACTATCATTCGGCTAATAGCATACGGCAATCTGCAACGCGAATCAGAAATTTGCACTGATCAATTTAAAAGAATTACTTTCGATTAGTCTAATTTTTCATGCAATTCCCAAGTTCAATTCATCGTCAATACTCCTTTTCGCTCACTGTCTACACTGACCGAATTTCCAATGAAATGTTCAGAAAATAATAATGGAAACTAATATGGCCACAACTGAGTTTTACTCACATTTTTGGGCACATTCAGAATCGCGTAAAAGTCGATATCTTCTTCGTCATTGTTGACCAGTTCTTCATTGTCGAACACTGAACTTGCTGACGAAATCGACATTTACACACTGAAAAATCTCGAATCACCTTCCAAATTCCAATCTCATCAAGTAATCCAAAAGTTGCAAGCGACAAAAAGGCACAATTCTTCATTGTCTGAATGAAACTGATTGGTCAAACGCGATATATTGGTCAAAACATCGGGAACTTGAACGCACAAAACCCGTCAAAACATAACAAATGCTGACACTCATAAATGAGAAATTACCACAGAATCATTGATATTCAGGAACGTTTTTGACACGAAGGTAATGATGCATTTCCGATTGGTCAAATCGCAGCGGCATTTCGTTCGTGCGAAACATCTCTTACTATGCTCTAACTAAGTAACATATTCAACTCTGAATGTGAACGAAATGCTGCTTTGATTTTACCAACTCAAAATGCAAAATTACCGACACGAATTCGCTGTATACAAAACCACAAGATAGAGCTAAACACCGGAAGATATCCGCAAAGAAGAATAAAATCAATACAATTTTCGCTTGAATTGAACGCAAATTCGATTGATAACTATGTAAACCGATACGATTCTCGGTGTATTTGCGAAGTAATCAAATGAAGACACGAAAAAACACACGAAACTGAACGACACACTGAATACAACATGCTGCCATATTCCCAAGTATCCAGAAATATACAGGAATTGAAACAACGGCCGGATACTTGAATAAAATCAAACGTAAGATCGCAGAATTACAACCGAATCAGTCAAAATTAAGAGGTTCCTTCCAAATGTATGTCTGGAAATGATTAAAAGCTCGAGCTTCGGGCCTAAGTCTCATCTTGATCTTGCAATCTTACGTAATCTCGTATCTCGAGGTTACAAAGGGGAGAAGTGCCAATTTTAGCGAGCGATATTCAATAGCTGACGGTCGCGAATCGCCACATCGTACCGTAACACTAATCGCAAGAATTTACTCTGTTCACTTATAACGTCGTACAATAGTGAATCGGAAACCACTGCAGAAAATGCTTGTTTCGGTAAAAGAATTTAATTTTCTGCAATATTTTATCAATCAATCAACTGCGTCAACAATGTGAACCTCAGTATCAGCAGGTGTTTTAAGCGAAAACTAATGTGAAAAACATTCGTCAGCGACGGAAACATTTCATCAATTTTCTGAATAAATTCATTTACCCTCTCACAGTCAGTCACTTCCTCCCCTACATCCGAATTAATTCAATGACAACCCACCTAACTTTACCATGATTATCTAATGAAATATGCTGTTGACAGTGCACCATCGCACAGTGTGTTATTTTTCGAATGCGATAACAAATGAAAATTTAACGATTTCATATTCAAGAACATCACCACCATAATCATAATCATAAATAATCGAAATACCAGTAAATTATGATTGCAGCAATCTTATCAGTTACAATCAACCAACAATACGAAACAACCAAAACAATAATAA